CTCTAGTTACCTTATGTCTTTTCTTGTCGACTATCTCTAGATAAACCTTTTAGCATATTATAGTAGCATATTTTCATACACTACTAGTTCTGTAAGATCTAAACTTGATTAACTGCACTTTGAGAAGAGTGGTGGATTGTCTTGATTGATTACATTGTGGAGGGTTGTGAAGTGATGGATGGGATGTGAGTGTGTGTCTCCAGGGATCCAGTGTTTCAGATTGAAATGCAGAACTTAGTCCTGGGCAGCACATGGCCTCTAAGCGGCCTGTCAGAGCTTGCATTGCCTCGGGCTGAAGGTAGTGAGAAGGATTTACTGAGGGGTTGGGTTGGAACCTCTCGTGGGGGTCATGGCTAATTTCTGACAGGGTTTCATCTTAATACCTGCCAGTGGCTAGTTGTTCCGCTGCATTCATATGAGGAGCTAGACGACTCAGGGGGCTTTTGGTAGTTCAACACAGGCTAAGATACAAAGTCAGTATAGTGACGATTTTCCACTCTATACTTCAAACTTTAATGGAGCTATTAATACTGTTGAAATCATTTAATTGTTTGAAGGTGAGCCAAAGGTCTCGTACAAGATACCCTGAATAAGTGAGAAAATACCAACAGCAGTGGCATGATGTATTCTCATAGTGGAGCAAATGAGTTTAGATGGGGTGTACTATTTTCACTTTAAAACACATTATCTCCACTATATGCCACAGTGTCTCTTTTCATCCTTCATTCTTAAACATATATGCCAGTCGGTTGCCAAGTCTGCATATCCTTCATATCTATTTTACCCTGCATGGTAATCAGTGACCTTCTAGCTGACGTCTGAGGACTGATGATATCAGGTCCTGCTCTAACTTGGCAGTGGTTTCTCTTTATGAAGACTGATAAGCACATAGAAAAGAGCCCGCACCATCTGCTAGCCTGCATGCTATTCATTAAGTGCAAGCAGTTGTTGTGTAACCATGTGGAATACTTAATAATATTATATAATGTTTCATGACATGTACCTGCCGGGCCACACAAAGTGGTGCATTTGCCCGGCTGTCGTTACCTTTGGCTGGAGATTTGGGTGCAGCAGGACATATCCATTGGGGTCAATGGCAAAGTAGTATCCATTTGGACCAATCTGATACAAAAGATGAACAGAGGAGAGGGAAATTCAAACTTTACGTCCAAACAAACCACACAATGCTTGTACATGTCCTGTGCTGTATATAGACAACTAGTATAACAGGCAACAAGGTGACTGTAATTCATCACAAGAACATTTTCTTTTAAGGTTGATTTTAAACAGGCTTTATGAAAAAGAACAACACACAAATCACTCATTCATTGCCACGTGGTTCAAAGAATGAAAATGTTTATCTCTGGTTTTTCTCTTTGAGCTGTTCCATAAAGCAGAACCGCAGTCTGCGTGCATGTGATCACACATGGGTGTTAAACTCACAGTGAAGCGTGGCGTGAGTTTCTTGATGTCATCCAGAGACACGTCGATCCCCATCACACCAAGAATCAATTGGTTCTGGTGCTAAGAGAATGGGAGAAAAAGAATAATAAAAAAAATGCTATTGGAACGTGCTGCTGGCTCCACCCACAATGTTTTTGTCTCAGAAGGTAGAGTGGGTTGTCCACTAAAGAGAAGTGCAACGATTCTCCCCCATTCCGCGTGTCCTTGGGCAAGATACTGAACCCCATCTTAACCCTGACAGCTGTGCGGGCCGTGTGGGAGTAATGTGTGATAGAGAAAGTGCTGCACATTTATGAAATGTGAGTGTGTGAATGCGTGAGTGTTCATCAAGACTAGATAAGCATTTTATAAATACAGACCACTGTACCTCGCCATTCCTTTCATCAACGGTCATGGTTCTATTGAAGACAGGGAGTGTCCCTGTGATGACCAGACCCAGTTCCTGATGGAGATAAAAGCAAACACACAACTTCTCAACTTGGGAATCTTATCACGTTAAAACAAAAACACTATTTCAGCATCATTCAACTGTGAAATATACAAGGGGTGATTGATAAGTGTGTGGCCAAAGGAGATGAGTAATAAAGCTCTGGCTACGTGTTCAGCAGTTTAACTCTTTGTGAGATATTGCAAAACCTTTCAAGTTAATATTTCAATTTAATATTCATGGTGTTTCTGTTTCACCCAATTGAAAATGACGGGTCAGCATTTTCTGTTTAAATGGACATCAGCCTTTGTGCAGTCATCTGCTGAGACTTCCATGAGGACATGGTGTCAACAAGGGGGGAGGGGGTCCTTTCTCACAGCATGGTGAAGAAGAGGAGCTGAATTAAAAGATGGCAGAGAGAGCCTGAGGGTGATCACCATCATTGACGAGACTGGATTCATTGTGTTGTTGAAAAATAAGTGAACTGGGTTTTCTAAAATTGATACTTTCTCACTTGTAGAACATGAACTTACAATCACCCCTTAGGACTGAAACAGTGATGTCATACCAGAGCATCAAGGTACACATTAGTCCATTGGATCTGTTTGGCCTGCTTGTCTGCCAGAACCATGGGTCGCCCCAGGACATCCAGGTACTCCTACATTCGACAAACAGGAGCATTGCATTTCCCAGATTAAGGTTTCTGTGCAGACAGAATGGAAACTTTAAATGATGAATGAGGAAATGAATAAATCATCTACTAAATGTACCTGCGTGTTTATTCTGATGGCTCCAATGGATGGAATCTCATAGAAGTAACCTGGCGAAAAGGATGAGACAAAAAGCTTCTAGAACGCAACGGATAACAAATACACATCGAGGAAATGGGAAGAAATTATGCAGGATATACATTTGTAGTGGGTTAGGTGTATCATTAGACACATATTAAACACATTTGAAATAATTAACTGAAAATAAGCATGATCAATTTAATCTAATTCTCAAATTAGAACTCATTGACAGTAACACTCAGTGCTGATGTGTATTACGGACTGTACCTTTGTTGGAACAAGCCATCCACTGAATGGGTCCTTTGTCATAGTTGTGTTGTCCGACAGAGAAGGTGAAGATCCTCACCTGGAGCACAAGAATCAATTCAACAACATTACCTCTTACTACACACACACACACACACACACACATAAGAATAAAGAAAGTAGAATAACTGATTTGTTTTTTCTAAACTCCTCATTTATTTAAAGTTTTAGTTATTTGATGATTATTTGATCCTGAATACAAGTTCTACCATATTCAACAGACAAACTATTATATAATCTCAGTATTCTGCATCATTTATTTCTGATTAACAAGCATATGTGTGTGTGTCTGTGTGTGTGTGCGTGTGTGTCAGCAGGTCTTTGTTTTACACAATATGCAGAAAGTCTGCACTGGCTAAAGTTTTGGGTAAAGAGGATGTGCGCACGGATGTTTCAACCCAAAGGGAGCTCAAAAAGGCTGAGTCTAATAAAAACTACAATAGGAGCACATCCACACAGATAAAAAGCAACAATTCACACTGCAGTATATGCCCCTTTGTGTGTGTGTGTGTGTGTGTGTGTGATCTACATACCTTTTTGTCAGCATTGTATTTCTCCAGTATGGCCTGAGCTCTTTCCTCTCCTCCATCAGTAAACAGCATGATGATCTTGTTGCAGTTTGCTCTGGTCACATTTTTCTAGTCAGGGGAAATACACATTGATACTATGACTACTGTGCTGGTGTTATGCCCAGGTAACAGCATGGCATAAGGCGGATACTTTCAGTCTTTTTACACACTGATTTATATACTGTTTAGATTTTCTCCTTAAGCTTTACTTGATACTTTACTTGATTAACACCCCATGTTGATGAATCTAATGAGGTATTTGAAAAAACAAAATGCAATATGCACAGACAATTTCCATCAAGAAATGCATATGCATAATCCCCAGTGAATGAATCCTGGTTATTTTGTTGAGCTCCGCAACTTTTCTCTCTGGTCGAGGCAGATGTTCTGCCGCCCTGAGTCTGAATCTGCTTGAGATTTCTCCCTGTTGAAAGGGATTTTTTTCATCTGCTGCCAGATGCTAGCTAGGAACTGTTGGGGTCTTATTGTAAGGTCTCAACCTTTGTGCTATACAAATCAAACTTAATTGAATTTCTCCATCACCAGTTGAAATTAAAAACAATGTGCATCATTACAACTCAACATTTACTCTCCCAAAGATAAAACCTTTTATTTTGAAGATCCACCTTCCTTTCATATCATCAACTCTTGTTTGTTCAGTCCAATACAAAAAATGTGAACGTTGCAGCGTCATGGAAACATTAGCAGGGCTTCAGACCAGACAGTTTCTATGCAACATATCTAACTTACTATGTCACTAACATCATGTAAAAGATCAGGTTTTGAGTTGATTACACATTCATCTTGAGGCAGTTTGTCTCTATAACTCAATTTTATGATAATTCTTATTTGAAATGGTCATTCATCTGTAATATCAATCTCTTTTTCAATGTCTGGACTGTTGAGTCGAGATAACGCATTCAACCAGCAGATGGCAGTGAAAGACAATACTACTGAAAATATGGAGGCATCACAAGTAACATTCGTTCAAAAAGCTCCTGCTGCACATTCTCACTCACACAAAATGATGTGTTCATTTCATTTAAAAAACAGGAAACTATGAAATCTCACCACAGAGAGCTGCTCAAAAGCAAACTCAAAGCCTTTTGTGTAGTTTGTTATTCCTTTAGCTGTGATGTTCTGCACGGCGTCCTTCAGCAGCTTCTTGTTCCTCACGTTGGCCTGAACCAGGTGATCGAAACACGCCGTCTTCTTCACCCTGGTGTTAAACTGGGAGCAGAGGCAAAGATATTTAACCTGAACATATACATATGTAGCAAATGATATAAATGCGACACACACGCACAAACACACGCAAACACTCCCACCTGGCCTTGGCTGTTATTAGGCAGTGGTAAACAGACACATTCATCAAACCCCACTAATTGCTTCACATCCTTGGAGCTCAACGATTTGGTACCCATGGAAACAAGATTCTGCTAAACAAGAATGAGGTTAGTCAGCAACACCATCTTTTTTTTTTAAAGGTGAGTCCTCCCCATTTCCACCCCACAGCACACATATGCACACGCACACAAACACACACACACACATACTCCACCAAACATTGATCAGCAACACTGAGCTCTGCTCCAAGTCAAACTGATATTTTCCCTGTTGTTAAATATTTGAACTGAAACTTTAAATTGGGCCTGAAATGAACACGAAGGATATTGTTTAAAGAGCTTACAATGGCAATAAGTGCAAATGACAGAATACATTATATTACAGAAAATAGTACATAATAAGAGTGCCTGAAGGACACTGGACAGCAGTGTAGTAAAGAAGCACATCTATTGCGGTGCAGAACTCTTCTAAAACAATACTGCACCTCATCGATCTCAGCTAATCAATGTGTCTCTGCGAGACGGCCAGTAGGGAGGCTTGAAACACTGATGTGCACAGACAAGCGGCGAGGCAAAAAGAGCCTTCGCCATTTGTGTGTGTGGGTGAGTATGTGTGTTTTCAAAGCCTTGAAGTTCCTTTTAGATTGACTAATAGACACACACATCTCTATTGGACTGAAAGGATGGCGGCGGCACCACCACACAAACACATATGCGCACCACATGCACACGTGCAGATTTAATTGAAGCTCAAACAATTGCCTGTGTAGACCAGACGGGGTCTTTTAACACATATTCTATTAAAAGGGAGAGGAAGGTGAGGTGGAGATGTGGGAGGGTGAGGAGCAGAAAGTGTGAGGAGAGGACAGAAACCGAGAGGTGGGAGGGTGTGAAGACTTGATTTATAAGCAGGAAAATGAGAAGGTGTATCTCATATAGGAAATAATGAGCTCACACGCTGTACGTGACACAACGTTACTATTTTTGTCGATAAAAGTGAAAAAAGAAACATACTGTAATTTCTTAAAAAAAACACACGATTGCTTTGTAAGATAGAGTTATTGGCCTTGCACACAAATCTACTACAAATTCCACTGTTCCCTTGTGATCCTATTACAACAGCTTTTATATCTGTGTGTGTGTGTGATGGTCCCGGCCTTGGGAATGGATTAGCGATGACACAAGAGAGAAGGCTAATCTTCAAGCCCTAATCCCGCTGGACTTTCCGCTACTCTTGTTTGGTGCTCGGGCTCGCCAACCACACTGATGCCGGCTAACGTGGATGAAATTCTGGATCGGCATCTCAGTGAGGTGCCAGGTTGAGGAAGAAGCGAGAACACAAGTGAGAAAAAAAAAAGGATGAGCAGAAAGGAACAGACATCAGCATTCTTCGGAACCGCCACAGCTGTAGAGGAAGTTTGCGTGAGCATCTTCCATGACCAAATGCCAACTTAGTCCCTAGGCTACTGTTAATGAGGAGGGATTTATGGGTAATATCAGAGATTAATGATTTAGTGTCAGGTTGCAACACCCTCAGGGCCAGACACAGGGCGCTGTGTGTGTGGGTGTGTATTAGTAAGTGAGTCAATGACAGAAGAAGGAAACAGATAGGGATAGACGGTGACAGAGAGAAAGAATAATGAGTTTTGGTGGAGGAGGAACAAATTGACCGCCACTGATTTATAGTTTGCTGACTGATAGATTGAGTGGCAGAATGAAGGTAATTAAAGGATCAACCCCATTTACTATAATGTATTGTTTTTTTAAATTATTTTGATAGGTCGTGATAATTACACTCACCAGTTTACTTTACTGACATCTGACAATGAGAAACATTGTTAAAAGAAAAGTCAAGATGGAGAAAGAAACATCAGCGACCACATGATCATACAGGCTGTAAACAAACCACCAGGTCAACCAAAGATATGAGAAGTCAAGAGTGAATATGAAAAGTACAACTCTAACAATATCTATTATAAACATGCATCACATTAATTAAAATGTGTTGTGAATGTCGTTGTGAATACAGATCAGGGGGATCAGGGTTTTTGTCACTTTCTATATGGAGTTGGGACAAAGGGTGTTGTTCAAAATGTTTATTGATTTCTCCGAGTGTGTGCAGTTTGGTGCAGGTCCAAATAAAAAAACGGATCAAGTGAATGTAAACCTGGTTTCATAAGGGGACTGTTAAGTGCTCTAAACATGCCACACTCATGCCTATGTTGTCTACACTGCTGAACTTATTGTACTGATGGCTCTTTGTTCCCAGACCTCAGAAATGACTTTAGTAATAACAGGATTATTGTAACCAACCAAACCCAAACTGTAAAACAAAATTAGCACTTAAATCCATTGATTCGCTGCATCCTTCTCACAACGATACACATTACAAGCATTGCACTGTTTCCAATGAGGAGGGAAACAATCCAAACAAAATCAAAATTTAGTTAAACGTAATTCTTTTAACTAATCTCTCTAATCATGTCTCATTTCTTAACAACATACACACACACAAGCACACACAAACAATGAGCTCCCAGATAATTGCATCTTTGCAGAATCACAGGTCCACCGTGAAACAGAATAAATTGCGTCCGAGACAAAAGGGTCCCCGGGGACAGGAAACAGAGTCCGAATGACAGTCTTTGTGCAGAGAGAACGAAGACAGCTCCGGTCTCTATAAAGACCCATCTCAATAAACACTTCACAGGCAACCACCAACGCATCACGCCATCCTCCTGATTGGCTCTCTCTGAGCTCTTTCTGCAATCACACGTGTGGACGGCCTGGAATAGATGGTCAGAAAATGAAAAAGTGGAGGAATGGGGGGGTGATTGGTGGGTGAGAAAAGTATAAATGAAGGGAAAGAAAGTGGGAGTGGTGAAAAGAGGAAAGTTGTGGCGTTGTGTATTGATGAGTAGAGGCACACAATGTACAGGGAGATCCTTCATTGACACTAAGAGACGAATGGGGGTGTATGGTGAAACACTGAGAGGAATTGCACGACTCGTGATGAAAGTAAAAAGTGATGGAAAGATCAAGAGGGTGATGAATGTGTTGCTCACTTTAATTCTTTTAGGTGCAGTGGGAGTGTACATGCTCTCTCACACACACACACACACACACATACACAGTCTCACAAAAAAATGGGTTAGGAGGTAAGGTGGGGACATGTGTTTTAATCTTGAACACCAAATAGAGCAGTGGGTATTTCATTAAAGGTCTGTTTCAGGGTGGCCAGACTTGAGAGAAATCCATATTTCATTACTTGTCATCCATCTCTCTGTCTCTCTCTAGTGTGTGTGTGTGTGTGTGTGTGTGTGTGTGTGTGTGTGTGTGTGTGTGCGTATGTGTGTGTGGGCATGTGTGCAGCATCTTAGTGTGTGTGTGTGTGTGTGTGCCCTTATTTAAATTAATCTGGATATACATGAATGGGCATATAAATGCACAAGTCCATTCATGGGCACATTGTGAATCCGTCAATCACGCCGTCCCTTTTCTCAGTGGGCATCAGGCTCCCCGTCACCTCCCACAAACGGATCAGCCGTTGCTCAGCAAGTGGACGGTTTATTAATACTCACATAAACGACATTGACATAGTCGTCATCAGACAGAGTCTCCAGCATCTCACCGACCGAGGTCCTGATCAGTTTGAGAGTCAAGCCAGACACACTACCGCTCCTGCAAGAAAAAAATGAAATAAAATACACAACAGTTCCTCACTGCAATCTGCCTCCTCAGCTCCTCTCCTGTGAGAATTAACTTGATGTGATTAGAAATGCGTCTGCCTTGGGAAATACATCACATTATCTGGCAAATCTAGAAAGGTATGCATTCTAATCATGGAAATCATTACTGAAGGTTATGGATCAATGAGGTTAGAAATGAACTCACGCATCGACGAGGATTAGCATGTCTTTGGGGGAGGCGGCTCCTTGGATGTACCTGGATTGAAGTTAATGAATGAAAAGACAAGCTGAACTGAGACTCCCACTCAACAACACCGCACAACATAAATATGCTGAAGGCCAATGATTTACACACTGAGATCTCAAAATATTATTAATACACTTTGAAACTATTTATCACAGTTATGACCGGGAGAAATCTTTGAAATGACTTATATATAATTGTATCATGTAGTCATAATGCAATTCAGCTGATTGAAAGAACAATGATATTAAAAAGTATTGGATTATTGACCACTACCTCATTAGGAAGCAAATAAAACTAAATAATTATATTTATTCGCCTAAATACATAAACTTTGTTATTTTAGGACTATTTACCGACTGACATTCAGGATATATCTAAAGCATCTATATGTGTGGCAGTTTTCTTACCATGGCCTCCTGCGGACGTCATACAGATCAATTTTACCGGGGGTTTTACGAGCATCCATCCACGGAGAGGCTTTAGCAGGAAATAAAATGTGTGTTTATTATGATGGCTTAATAATTAAAGGTAATAAAACATTAATCTGGATGTCTCCCACATCTGCCTGTCAGACCAAGGTTGAATATTAGTGACATATTCAGCTCAGCAGCAGGAATTCGCTGTCAATCACCATGCCGATAAAAAACCGACACATTTTGGGATGGAATAAAAAAAATCCTTACATTTCTGCCATATTAACAGTTCACTTGTTGGATAAAATCAAACATTTATGGCTCCAATTACTTTACATCATGTTTTATGCCGGCTGATATTGTTCATGGAGAGATGAACATCAGATCGTAATGCTTCCTCTGAGATGCAAAGCACAGAGCAGTGGTTTCACAAGCTTTGACAATGATCAGTTGCTTTCTATCAGTATGCAGTCAACGAGGGGAGCCATGAAAACACACCAGTATGAAGCTGTGTGACTCCCTGTCATGCATGCTAACAGTTAAAAAAAAGGAAACAAAGAGGAATAAATTCAGGGCTAATGAAAGTTCATGAATATTAGACATAAACCTTTACCATAAAGCTATAGAGTCAATGATGAGAGGAATCTCATGAATAGAAATGGCTCAAATGCTTACAGCAGAGAGCAGCACCACACTGATGCAGTTAAAGATAATGAGATGGTATCTATATGATACCAAATATAACATCTGAGTAAATTGAGAAATTGATTGAGCTTATTTGTGCACTGATGTCTGAACTTAATATATCCCCCTAGCTGTTTAAATTAATTAGCTTTATCTTATCCAACAATAAGCTCTAATTTGATAATGAGGAACACAAACAATATGACAGACAGACAGACAGGCCTGGTGCATTTTCAACTACTAATCAATTTTAAAAACATGGAAGACCACAGACATAATCACAGATTTTACAGATTTTCTACACAATTTTACCACAACGTGAAACTTCAAACGTCAAACGTGACTTCAGAAGAAAAGCAAAAATGGAGGAGGATTGACGTCATCAGCTAACTGTACTTGCATGTGTTGTGTTTTGCAGCAAATAAACAAAAAAAGAGGAAAAACATTGGACTAAGCCTGGTTCACAAATTTTGTAGTGCGAGTTGGAGGTGAGTTGGAAATGTATTGCTGTTTTTAGTCGCAGCTATAAGTATGCGGTTAGTGGTGCTTCCCAGTCAGCTCACTCTAATTGGCTATTGCAGGTTTATACTAAGTATTCCGTCAGAGCAGGTTATCTGAAATATCAAACGTGTTTGAATATTTCGAGATCAGGGAGGCACACAATCAGTAGCTTTAAGATTATTTTGTAAACCTCTCACGCTTCAGGATTAATTGGGCAGATATTTGACTCTGACTGGCTGCAAATTGGGAACACCCCTGTGATTTTCTGCAGAGGCCAAATCGGGTCAAAAATCTGCCAAATTGTCTTCTATGTCCTCAAATCCCTTAGAAAATATGATATTGTTGTTTTTTTACCTGGGTAGTAGCGAGCCAGGCCTGTAGCACTACCAAACACCTGCCAGAGAAGAGTTGGGTCATCTTCTCTGTTCTTTCTAAACACCTCCTCCAGTGCCTCCGTCCAGTTCAGCTCATTCAGCACAATGGTGGCTGGAATTCCAGACAGATACAAACAAAAGAAAAACATATTTGTGAAGTAAAAATATACTGGAAAGACTAAACTGGGACAGACTCGCACAAAATGTTTTTCTAATCAGATTATGCAGTTTCGACAACTCTGCAAATGTGTACAAGTCTCCAATGTGTAATTAGAGTACATGGCAGTTGGGGTAAACAGGGCATTGTACACTGTCAAAGATACGTGGACATCCCAGATTAACACCATCATTATTATTCACACGAGCGCCCACTCAGTGTCGGCCCACTTGCCAAGCAGGACGCATGAGTAAATATTAGACCAGCCAGTGTCGATATTCAGCAACAAATACTCAGAAGCAGTATTCTTGCAAGTACCTGGTTTGACAAAAATATATATTTTTACTTGAAACCCCAGTAACCGCTGTGTGTTTGTGTGTGTATGAGTGCATGTGTGTGATTGATAGAGGCAACGGACATTATGGATGTAATGACACAGCACCCAGACAGCTCAGAGCCACTTAACACTCACTGTGATGGATGAAGATACAACACATACTGCCCCAACTCTATCTTTGCAGTCTGCTCTTCCTTTACACCTTGTTTCATTTCATCTTTTCTCGTTCTGTATACTAATCTACTGAACATATGCTTCCATGTGACTGCGTGTGTGAGTGCGTCTATATACAGAAGGTGCATGTAGGAGCGCGAGTGTGTTAGATGGATTGGTATCTTGTATTGAGTGTGACGTGGCTCATTGATGTGCAAAGCAAACACTGTTCATTTGCATGCATGCCTCCAGAGAGGAAAGTTAATGAAGCCTCAGTTGCCAGGAGTGCATGTGTTTTTATTAGAGAAAGTGAGAACATGCACTGTGTGTGTGTGTGTGTGTGGTTGTGTGTGTGTGTGTGCACAGTAATGTAATTCCTCATTAAGTCTACAATTTTAAAGGGAAAGATTGGGAAAAAACACCAAAGGCCTTGTTAACCAATGGAAAAATTACAAACTGATTTTTGAGTGATGACTAATGGCTACCAACACACAGCTAAATATTTAGATACATACACAACATCTACACAAATGTAAAACATTGAGAGGTAAAGAAGCATGCCCAAAACATCTAACCCTATAGGAATAGGTTTTTTGTGCCCCTGAGTTAGTCGTAATATTTAATAAGCTAAACTCCACTGCTGCTTCATAACAGATACAGCATCCTCTAGTCGCCCATATTGCCACTGACACTAATGAATTCCCAGGCTGCAATCAGCATAGCTTTGATGCCACAATATATATATCTACACCCAGTGATGACTTCATTTCATTTGGATATCACGGTGAAAGTTCACAAACATATAAGACACACATAATTTCAAACATGAAAAAAACATTGAAACAACTATCTATGACTTTTTATCTTGCTAGCTCCTTAAAGGTGCTATTGTAGCAATATGGCTCATTCAAAGTTCCACAAAAGTTCCAAAATATGTGGGACCTGGTTTGGTTTGTACCTCGTTAGTTTTTTTGGGATCTTTTTTTGTCATAATATAGATAATATTTTGTGAATATTACATTTTATTAACAGCTATCCCTAACTTGAACCAGAATAATAATTTCATCATTTGCATGTCTTATAATGAAAATTGTGAAATAAAAATGATGTTTTGTAAAAGCTTTGTTGACAGCCCAACAGGCTTCGGGTACAGTGACATATTGAATTGAACCATTTTCTATCTCTCTCTCTTTATACCTCATGGTCAGTGGCCTTCACCAGACCAACAGATGTGGCTTTTGTTGTGATCCTTCTCTTGTCTGAATGTTTGATTCCTTTCCTACGCTCCTCTCACACACATGCGACATGCTGCCGCGTATAGACAGTGATTTCATAAACTTGCCTTCCACTTCACCTAGAAAACCCAATTTTCTCCAGCTGAGCAAAGGCTATTCCTGGAACATTTATAGGGTGGAGATCAAATTGAAGAGCTGAAACCTCAATAACGTATGAGTCCCCCATCGCTATTTTCTCCAGATATATAAAATTCATTCTCCTGCATGTGCGTCCATATGTGACAAAATGCACAGTATGAGTGTGTGCACGCTCAAACACACACGCACATGCTCTTGCTATTCATGTGAGCAGCACATTCACTTTACACCGGCACTATATGGATCTCAACCTCTACTCCAGTGCCATGGCCCAGGGGTCTCCAATATGTCACTCTTAGCTTTCACTACTCTGTTTTTAGAGTAACTCACATCTGCAGAGAATATATTTTGTACAAACCATGGGTGCATAGCACAACACCATAAATAATAATAATAATTTCATTTTAGATCATGTTTGCTGTATGTGACTGTAGTTTAGCAGCTATTTGGATAATGTAATAATAATGTCACACATGAAAAATATTCACATCCAGGAAGTGATAAACTTGTTGATGTTGAGTTTCCCTGTGGGCTGCAACATGAGCCTCCTTTTCCTACGTTTGTTTTTGCTTTGGAAAATTAAGAAAGCCCAGTTGTTTGTAGCACTGAATGAACAGACGACTATCAGTGGATTCATGGATACTGAAGAAAAAACAAACCTTAGAGCCAGAGAATAGCTCTTTTGCATCAGCTGTCCCTGGGCAGGATACTATAAAAGCCAAAACAATACAATCTACAGCAAATACAAGATCTAATTTACAAACAGTACATCACATGACTCATTTGATTCACAAGTCCTGAAGTTATAAGCAGATTTATAAATTATTTATTTGTCATCGACAAAAATAATTATATAATTGCATATCTTGAGACATACTGAATCGAAAATATGTGAGTCATGTCATGTTTGTTCAGTTTTGACTAAATTGTGATTCAGATGTTTTGGTTGACAGTGATGGTGTTTCAGTATAAACTATCAGATTTGGATATTGATATTTGAGGTTAAACAAAAACAAAAACGTCTTATTGAAATGTTTTGGTTCGGAGATCAGTTTGAGTGAACAAAGGTAATAGTTATATGACAGTAGTAACTTTCAGACACTTTTGTTTTGTGTAAAAGGTGTGAAAAGGTGTGGAGACCCCTCCTCTATCCAAACTATTTTTAAAAACCTTTAGGAATCTCAGACTGGGCTCCATTATGGCCATCCATCCTATTTTGAGTGTATACCTGTCTTGGGTTCTCGCACACATTCACTTACACACATAGTTTCTGTCAACTTGCTTACACCAGACTTCAGCCCTGGATAGTCTCTAGCAGCTCGGTATATATATATATGTATATATACATATATATATATATATATGCATCCTCCATTAAACATCATCCTTGAAAGAAAGGGAGTGTGAGGACTCATGGCACCCAGCCCAGATGATGGCCAGAGAGAAAAAAGCAGTTCAAAAGCATGTTAATAAACCAGACTTGCACTAATGCTGATAACAAACCCGAAAATAGCATGTGCCCACCCCAGTCCCTCACTCCTGCCCCTGTGTCTGGGGTCAATGGAGATGCGAGGTGCGTAACCTTGGGGCCAGACGGTTCCCCAGCAGGCTGAGAGCCATGCTGAGGGGCTCACTCAATTCTGCTGTCCCTCCTAGTCACTGCTGACTCATCACCTCCCACTGCACACTAATTAAATGGTTATTTAAACACATGTACACAGACTTACAGATAAATAAAGACACAAGCTAAGCAGTGGCAGTGCAGCCTGGTGGTTGAATAAACTATCCTGCAACTGGTCTCATGTTCATATTCATTCATTTTGATCTCTCTGTGTAAGTCACTCTATGATAAGAGTCTCACCCAAGTGCTTACAATGTAAAAAGAAAAAGGAGACTGTTCGTATATAATATATAATTCAGACCACAGTTAAGATATTCACCAGACCATCCTTAAGTCATTGACATTCAACTTCCGCTGTGCGAATGTCAGAGGGACTCGGGAGAATCAAATTATGCTGAACCACTCAAGGTAAATGTCACCACATGATGATGACATGGTCAGAAATGTACTTTTATAAAAACAGGGCAAATGTTTTATTATATTCAAACATATAATGTCACACATTCTGCTTTATTACAGTGAGGAAAGTCTTACTTGGTGAAACATTTAGCTAACGGAGGCAAAGGAAAATAGCACTTTGTATTTTGCATTTTGTCTGATGCTGTGCTACACATTTAGCTTTGTACAAATGTGTGTGTATTCACTATAATGTGAAGAAATATCTACTCTTGTGCCCTGGGAATATGTAGAATACAGGACTATGAAAATATATATATATTGTTGAGTAAAGCGTATATATTATGTGAGATGAACATTCACGAACAGAAACTAATTATCAAGAGGAGGTTGGAGGTTTGAAAGTCACTGTGTATCAACCTGCTTCATTATATGACCCTCTGTTCATCTACATCCAGGGACACACGGATGAGCCAGGATACAGGAGAGAACAAGATAAAATCCTAGTATACTCTTTTCTTCTTTTAAACCCTCATTCAGCTGTGAGCACATTTGCTAAAGGCTCAGTTCGAAAACAACATTTTGTCATGTGTTGGTGTGTCAGTTGTATCCATGGTTACAACCGGGGTTTGTGTGTTAGTGTGCATGCATTAGTGTGTGTGCGTATGTGTGTGTATGTGTATGTGTATGTGTGTGAGTGTGTGTGTTTACTCACATCCATCATAGATGTCGGTGGGGATGTGGACAGCCGTGTGGTTGTGATCAGTCAAACGCCTAAATGACGGGTCCTCTTTAAAGTCTGGTCGAATCCGGTATTTTTTTCCCTCCGTCTCATTTGCATCCAGCTGAGGGAGGAAAAAGAAAACATCAAGACGCAGACTAATGCTGACGGTAGTTTTAAGATATCAGACGGAGCATCTTTCCTCTATCTGCTGAAGCATCATGGCATCATGACAGGCCTGACTCAGTCCTTCATCAACTCCAGTCTGACGTAATAATGTCTTTGCTGCAAGTTTTGACACCCTCCCAACTTGTTTGTGAAAATATAGCATCATCAACAATACGTCTGATGATATCTTCCTGTTTGTTTTCCTCTTTTATTATCATCTTCATTTGGGAGGAGACAACCAGATTGTCCTTGCACCTTGTAGAGATTTATAACTCCTACTGTGGACACACCAATTGGCATCAGAAGCAGCAGTACAGATGTAGGAGATGGATGAAGAAAAGTATGATGAGATATGGAGGAAAGAATGCACAGTAGGGAGGGGAGTGCAGGAGTGGAGATGGAGCGAGGGAGGAAAACAGCACAGGGGGGGAGGGAGAGAGAGTGTGAACAGTTACTTCCTAATAAAGCAGCGTTGTAGCCAGCTCATACATCTCATCTGTCAATTAAAGCAGAACATGGCAGAAACCTCTTCACCTGAGAGAGGCTGGGAAGAGGGATGACGAAGAGGAGGCTGCACGGGATGAAAAGCCTGGAGAAGAGGCAAAAAAAAGAGGGAGGGGCTGCAGTAAAAGGCCGGAGAATTGAAAGAAACCGAGTGAGGAAAAAAAAAAGAGAAAGGCATGAATGTGGTGAATAGAAGGAGAAAAAGAGAGGAGGAGATAAGGGAGGATGACTAGGTGAAAGGGAGGACAAGGGATAGCAGCGAAAACATATTACTGGCCCATGTCCGAGTGTGACCTGTGTGTTTGCAGTGGCTTAAATGGAAGGAGAGCAAATAGGCAAAAGGAAGAAGAAAAGCACACTCACATTGTCCTTTGAGTTGTAGTAGGAGATTTCTTCATCCTGCAAAAGCAGTCGCACACAAGCACAAACATCACTTTGTGGACGCTTCAGGGCTTCACACACATAATCACGAGAATGCTTAATTCATTTCTAAACAATTCTTAATTTTGTTGGCAGGCAACTCCATTAGTTAATTCTCCAGTTTTATGTTAATGACGTGGTCTGTGCTGCCAGTGGAATGAATACTGTATGAGTTAAAGTGAATGTGTGGAGTGTTCCTCTTCTAAAGTCTGTGCCTGTGTGCCTCGAGCCATTTGCAATGCTCCGGGGTAGAATTTCCCTGCCACTGAGGAAGCAATATAGTAATTGACTGCTTGGATGCATATATAACTGTCTCTGCGACTGCGAGTATTCTTTTCCATGACCATAGCTTTCCTCCCCGTTTCAATTGTCTGCCCCTGTGGTTCTTAGAAATGAGCGCATGTGTCATCTGAAATGAGAAGCATGATGTGGTGCATTAACCGATGGAGCTGTAATCACTGCAGTAACACACAGATGCAGATACAGATATTAAAGCTACAGAGGCAGTAATTTATGATCAGTAAATCTAGGATACATGCACGGTGTAATGTTCCTGTCACTGTGCATCTCCCTGTGTTTTACCAACATACAGTAAATAAAACACACATATAAAACTTATACATGTAGGTATACAAGTGCACAAGCATGTGTCTGTGTCCCTCCGTTACCTCGAACTCGTCTTTCCACGTATGATCCACCTGGAATTGCTCAGCAGCCGCGGCCAGTTTCTGGGGAGTGAAAAATGACAGGGATTTGGATTTGAGACTACACAAGTTATGTCTCCTCACTGCATCAGTCTATTTATAGAAAACCTGGGCAATAGAAAAGTATGTTAAAAGGCGCGATGGAGACTTTCCCAATGATGGTGACGTCACCTGCAGATCTCAAACTACAGTGCTACTATGGTCTTGCAGCACTGTCCGCTGAAGGCCATGCCACTGAGCCACCAGAGAGAGAGAGAGAGAGAGACTGAACGTGAAAGTGAGTGAGACAGAAATCAAGGGAAAAAGGAGGGTCAACAGTGTGAGAAATGGCAGATGATTGAATAAAGAGCAAATGGATTACCGACTGAGAGACTGTCAATCAAATTGGACACTACTGAATAACAAGAGGATATAAATGTAATTAAATTCACCTCTCTCTCTCACACACACACACACACACCCTCTCATCCTGGGAAACGATATGAAAAAGAGAGTAGGATTAAGAATAGTTACTGCAATAGAAAATATCTTACCCAGTACAGGCAATAAAAGAGCGAAGAACAGATCAATGTGGAAACAGATGTCACCTCTGTAGGTCTGTAGGCAGCTCTGTCAGCCGAGAAACCATCGAAAATGTTGAAAAACGCCCAAAATATTAAAGAAAGTGAACGAATAAATCCTGGATCTGCCCCCTGATCCCGATCTTAATTTAAAACATATATCACAATTGAACGGCTTCATTCTTGAGTCACGCAACACCCCTCCACAAACCTTCATGGAAGTCGAATGAGTAGCTTTTGCTTAATCCAGCTAACAAATGGAGACAGAAACATTGACTGAGGTGATTCTGAGGATGATGTGATATAATCACATATTTAGATATCACTTTCTAGTTGCACATACTTGTAATGTTTAAATTGGCTTTCTTCATCACATGAAACAATTTCATTTTTATGGCTACTTCCTGATCAGCCTGTTACGATAATCACGTTATCGTTCGATATACGGACATGACCACCATAATATTTGCTGACATTGTTATTGCTCATTTGTTTATTGTAAAGCGACCAGTGTTGGATCACGTCACCGTTGGATCACGTCACCGCCCAATTATCAGAGAGTTCATTCATTAATCCACACCCACAATCAGTCAATAATCCAATCACAATCCCAGACCACAGTCCTGTGTATACCGAACAACTACATGGAAATGACTAATAGGCTACAGAGCAATGCGTGCAGGGGTCGGAGAGGATCGGCTAAATCCACATGTTGTCGTTGCTCAGGAGCAGACACCTCATCTCTAAATTCAGTCAGGAGGAAATCATCTGATGGATTGTTTTTTCCCTGTGGAGTTCTCTTGGAGCTGCAGGCCTTGGCGGAGTTAAAGGCAGACTCTGTATACTCCAGTGACTGTTTATTTTCCTGAATTATTTGAGAAGATCCAGGGTAAAACCTGGTGTGGACTATTTTTATCGTGTTTGTTTTTGCCTTGATTTAACTGGATTGTGTTTTGCTTGTGGGGGAGACTGAAATGGACATTCTACATGGACGGACTCAACTCTGGACGCTGAGAGTCTGGGACACAAAAAGGTCTTAAAATGACAATATAATCGTTTGTCTCCATTATTTCAAGGACAGTATATCGTCCATTAAAAATTGTTATTGTTACAGACCTACTTCCAAAACAAACACTCCTGCACAACTGTGTATATGTTCACCGAGGTGGATCCACACTGATTGAACTTTAGCCTGACCCTGGCCTCCCCCTGTTCACACTCTACTGGGTAATGACAACCCTGAGGAGGAGAGGACCGCCCTTAAACACACTCACCTGTCTCACACACAACTTTCTTCACAGCAGCAAAGTTACATCAGCTTCAGCGGAACTCCACTGCAGTGAATTATTTTGGAGGCAGTTAAAAAATCACGAAGATAAAGTGTATTTATAGCTAAATGTCATTCTCACGTCCATCTGTTGGACTGTGAGAGAAGAGAAGTATAACATCAGGCGTTCTGTGAGCAATAACTGGATGAGATGCTTATACTATATAGTATGTAATCCTGGGCCTTCTCTGAGTGTGGGTGTGAATGTGGATGAGCGTGTGTGACCATGTGTCTGCTGTCTGCAATGGTTCCCTTCTTGTTCCACAGTCCCATCCCTTTGGCCTCCAGCTCTGGGCTCGGTTCCAGACCCGTCCCCACCTCCTCTGCACTGGCTGTCAGCAGCTAAATATACACCCCGCTCTAGCCATAAACACACACTCACACACAAATACACCAACACAACATAGTGATCATGAGATTATTACGCATCACGTTCACCATGAGCCAAAATAATATGTACTTATGCATCATCAGGTGATGAATCATTTCCATTTACAAACAGAAAAAAGTGCTTGATGCTGATTTTGGCTTCCAAAGACATATCCAGAGATTTACATCTATTGCCATAATTTACACATGTTATCTTTTATGTGTAAACATTTAATTACCGCCATCAAGGAGGATATCTTTTTAAGCAACTTACACTTAGGACATGAAGCATGGAATAAGGAAGAGCCCATCAAATTTAGGGCACATCCACTTGGTTCAGTTTTAGGACGAGGTGATACAATCCCTTTCCTAGATCATTTACTATGAATTAGATTTTTTTAATTTTTTAAAATCTGTAGTCTGGTGTGTGTTTTTTGACTTTGTTGGAGGTCAGTGCTCTGAGTGCTCTTCTAGATTTACGAGCAATCTGAAAATAGGCCTGATCAGAATCTCCACATCTCTGCAACAAAACCCTGCAAGATTACTTCACCAATGTTTTACGGTGTTTTCAGACATTTTAGCCAAAGAATATGTAAGAAAAACCCAGGTTGAACTGGGTGGCTGTATAAAATCCCATTAGATTCTTATAAATAATTAAATTCAGTGACACCTCGACTGCAGATGCACCCACGCTGTGAGAGCTTTCTAAACAGAACCTTGGTGCTTCGTTGGTAATTTCATTCCATAATGGTTACACAAAAAAAGAAGAGATAAGATTTAAGACTGTAATAATGCGCCACTCATGGGAGAGTGGGGGCAACAGTTCATATCCATGCTGAAAAGGCCAATTGCGCGAGGTCTTGTCATTAAGCTCATGTCAAATGTCTCCAGGACATCACAAGACATTAACGTCACACATTGAGATAAGTAAGTTATAAATCCAGACCATCTCCCGAAATAGCTTTAATTTGTTAAGTGCATATATAGGCTATAAACATGTATAGTTTAATATAAACACAAATGCATGTAGAGGTACACACATATAAAGCAGGGATGGAACGTATGGATATTTATTACAATTGGCTCCTTTCCTCTCATCCAGGATTCCTCCCACCGTGATGTTGTATTTGATGTGATGCACAAGTGTTATCAACAGCTGCTCCATACTTTAAAACCTAATACGTCATCGTTTGTGTGACATAAATGGAGAATGGGACCATAGTATTTTGTGTCAAAATACCTCAAGCTTACAGTATACACACACACACACACACAC